AGCACTGAGACGCCACCAAACAAGCACCTGAGTATCCAGACGAGAAGCCGGGGTGGCCTGGTGGGGCTGGGCTGGGGTGAAAGCCGACTGGTTTTGCTTTACTAACCCTTCCACTCTCCAGCTCGTCCGAGTTCATGCTGGGGCTGGGACACGTCCCTGGGTTTCACCCCATGCTTGAGGCTCCAGCAGTCGCGCTTGTAACAGCAGTTCGGTATCATACCTGTTTAAACTTGTTTTAAAGTAAAATACTGTTTTTGTTAGCAGCATATCGCCCTAAATCAGGTGCAGGTTTTAAACTGCTCGAAGCCAGAAGACACTTAGAATATTGCGGTACGTCCCTAGGGAAGGGGCGACTTTTAATATCACCCTGACCCAAAGGCACCAGGCACTTCATAAGAAGCAGATTATTTCAGAGCTAGCATTACAACCCAGGCAAGGAGGATGAACTCCCTATTTCAGCAGTACCTTATTTACAGAATAACCTGCCCAAACCATTTCTTCCCATTTCCAGGCATTTTGTCATTCTTTGGATGAGGAAATGTGTTTTTTCCTTCTCATCTTTACCCCGTTATCATCCCAGGCAGTTCAGCGGGGTGCTGGTGGGAACACCTCCCTGGCTCCCCCAGCTCTGGAAATGTCGGTCTGGCTGGTTACGATGGTTTGCCCGGCTGGTAGGGGAGGACACGGCGTTTTCCGAGTACTTGTGTTTTTCCAGGCCGTTTTCTGATCTCTTTCCAAAGACCTTTTCCCCGGTTCAGTTGACAACAGCTGCTGGAAAGCTCCTCCCCGAGGGAGGAGAGAAGACATCGATGATTTTTCAAGAATAACTTCACAACATTAAGACAAAACAGGATTGGTGCTGCTGTCAACCGAGGAAGGGTCTGGAGGTGAGAGCTGTTGGTGCGACACACTAAGGGCTTTGCAGGATCATGTTTACCCGTCGCCTGCCTTGGTGGAGATCCAGTGCTACCTGCAAGCCGTGGCGGTCGGGTCGCTTTCTGCCTCGCGTCTGGGAGAGGTGCCAACCGCCGAGTCGTAAAGGGATCAGCACGACCGCGGGGCAGGGGCAACAGGTTGGCATGCAGGAGAAACAAGTATTAGAAGATCTGGAAATGCCCCTTGCAAGGAGAGAAACCGAGACCCTCTTCCAAGAGCAGCCCCAGACTGGGAACCAGTATTTGGAAGATGCTTTGCTTCGGAGTTACTTGAAAACGCACCTTCCTCCCAAGGTCTGGCGTGCATGTCTGTGTTTCTGTGTGTACACACTACAGTTCTGGCTAGGTCACCGTTTAAGACTGTGAATTGAACGTTTCCTTGAGCCCTTTTGTGCCTTCAAGTGTTTAACTGGGGGGAATTTATCAGCATTCTTTAGATTTGTTTTCTTTGAATCAGGGCAGGGGTGAAAAATACTGCCAGGACACAAAACAGAAATAGAAAGTGGCTTAGTGGACTCCGGTGACTGGTCTGGGTGTTGCGACAAGGGTGTTGTTTTGGGATTGTCAGTGCAGGCGTTTGTTGTCTGGTCATCCAGAGAAAGAAATTTCGGAGAAAGGGAAAAAACCAAGGTGCTTCCAAACTCTGCTGTGCAAGTCCACCTCTCTCCCCCTGGGGAAAGGGGGCTTTAAGGAAATTCCTTTCCGAAGGAACGGGGCTGTTCGCAGCGCTCAAGAGGATGCAAAGGCCCGTTGGGGTTTGCTTGTTCTCAGCACAGGTCATTGGCTTTTCTGGGTTGATTTTCAGACAGGGAAGGCTCTGTACGGATTGCAGGGGTGCAGAGAGGTGGGGTAAGACCCTAAGCTGCGGGTCTCTGTTCTGTGAGGTCCAGTCCTACAGGAACCCCCGGGAGGAGGTGGCTCACCTCACTGGCTGTCCTCTGCTGTCACCCCAAGGACCGCAACTGTTTCCCACTTTTCAAGGACCAGATCTCGTGGAGCAGAGCGTGACCTCTCTCCGTGATTTATTCCAGCAGGAGCAATGCAATGACCTGTAAACCCACCGGGTGGGTAGAGGGGCAGAACCTGGCTTTCAGTGATGCTCTTCCTGCCACTCATTGCTCTCCAGGTCTGCGAGGCCTTGCAGACGTGGGGTAGTAAGAATGCGGAGGCAACCCTGGGAGCTTGCTTTTGTCACAGCCATCACCAAAGACAGGAATGAGGCCTCCCTAAGCACCACTGTGGCCTTCTTGCCAAAAGAGAAGATGGGGGAAAGGAGGATGCCTTTGGGCAAGCATGAAGATCTCGCTCCTAATCCGCACCTTTGGGAGAAGCATGACTCAGATCTCCCAAAGGCTAAAAGGATCAGTGCTGTCTTTCACGAAGGCTGAGAGCTGCTCTCCGCTCCTTCCCCAAAGAGACAAAGCGGCTGCAAAATCTACCAGAGAATCAGCAGCATCTCCCTTACGTTTCTGTGCTTGGTCCCAGCGGGGCAGTGTTGCCTCGCTGCTGAAAGGGAGAGCACAGTCGCTGCTGTCTGCTTCACGCAGCACCCGCTTGTCTGCAGCCTGAGAGCTGGCTCTCCATATGAACACCTTCCTCTCCAGGAGGGCAGCAACAGATGATGCTTTGTGTGTCCCACTGAAGCAGGCACCACGCTGGAGGTTGATTCCTGTCGTACCGTTCCCCTGCGTTCAGTGGTGAACACAGACATTTTCCTGGAATGGAGCAAAAGATTTCGTTCTTTCTTTGAAGCTGGTTTCTGGAGAACATAGAAGAAAGCACCTGCTTTTTCTGGGCACCGTTGTGGAGGGGTATCTGTTGGTCTTTGATCCCCCTGAAAATATATCCTTTAATATAAAGGATCATCTGTTTGCACTCTTAACGTGCAATAATTTGTGCATTTCCAATATATTCATCCCTGGGACATCAAAGGAGAGATGAGGGTGAATGAGACCACCCAGCAGATGCTGCTAGGTAGCAGCTTCAGCCCCGACCCAGAGGGTTTACAGATGCCCCCTCTGTATCCTGGTGTACGTTTTTCTGGCGCGCCCAGGCTGCTGTGTGTTAGTCGGCAGTCACAAATGTAGGAGCTCTGATTTTGTTCTTTTACCTCAAAAATAAACACATTCACTCGGGCCACACGGTGGTTTGTAAGGCTAAGTGTGGTCAGGGCGTGAGCTCACAGATAGGCACTCTGGTTTGTTTTTTTTTTAGAAAATGTGGATGAGGCGAAGGGACTGCTGTAGTTTGAGTTCACTGTAGTGTGCTGAGACCTATTTGGTAGACTCATATTCTTCTGCCCACAAAAAACTACCAGGTAAACAGTCCAAAGGTTCTTGTGCTTCAGGGATCAGCAAAGTCCATGAACCTTGGGTTCTTAGGTCATGCCTCTAAAACAACCTTCAAATTGTTGTCAAGTTATGATAAGCATTGGAGGCATACACCCATCCCAGCTGAGCTCCACCGACAGCAAACGGGAGGGCAGTGTGAGCTGTTGACAGGGCTCTCATGCATGGTTTTGGCTTGGTTTGTGATTTTTAATGCCGAGTATTTCACCGTTCACCTGAAGGAAAACTGGCTGGTCTGAGGATGGAGACTTCCAGAGTACTAACTGGCCAGAGTGTGCTGGATCCTCATTACACACGCGGAACGGCAGAGTGATGAAAGAATCAATCATACGGGATGTAGTTTAATGAAAAGTCAATACAGGGGGAAGCAGGGAAAGGGACAAGCAGTGTTTGTATTTCATCAACAGCAAATTAACGTGTTTTATAATTGCACCATTTTTGGTTACAGCAACTATGGCATTCATCGCCACAATTGTTATATTGAGGAGGAAACGAGCATCTCTTGAGGGGGTAGAGAACAGCAAAAAATAGTCCTCTGATGAAAGATCACGTGCTTCTGTGACCCTCATTATGGTCTTGGGTGTATTTATGCTAACGAGGGTCCAACAGTGCTAGAGGTTGGGTCCACCTGGCCTAATTTTAATCATCTATAAGTCAGGTTGTTTAAGTCTAGGCAACTTCGCTAGGCTTTGGCCACAGACAGGGAAGAGCACTTGCAGAAGGCAATTCCTGTCACCTTAAAATAGGTATCTAAGAGGGTTGGAATGATTCACTCCTCTGCGGGTGCCGGTTTCCCTCCATTAACTATGGACAGACTACTCCGTCCAAGTCAGCCAAGCCTGGCTGAAATGAGAGCACATGAATCCTTATCCAGGGCCATTCAGGAAGCTGGATGCAGGGTGGAAATTTGAATCTAGGCACCCTGGGTGCCGGGCTGAAGCTCAAAAGATTGCTCCGTCCCTCCTTTTCTAATCTGATAGGCAGGTAACTACTGAGGCCAGTGGAAGTTCTCCTATACGGATGAAGGCTTTCCGTTTTTGGCAGGTTTTCCCCTGGCCGCCTTCTCCGGCAGTAAATCACAGAGTGGCTGAGGTTGGAAGGACCTCTGGAGATCCTCTCGTCCAACCCCCCTGCTCATGTGCATCTGTGTCATTCTCAGCCCTGATACAAAAGCTCTTCTGTCTTTTGTAAAATCCAGAGATGCTGCCAAAAGTAACTTGAAAAAATTATTTGGGGGGGGGGGGGAAGTGACAGCTGAGCACAGCTGTGCCAGCAGAGGCTGAGAGACAAGCTGTCCTGCTGCATTACAGAATGCATGGAAGGGCCAAGTGGCAAGAGACCACTAGCACTGCAGGACGATACGGTCAGTCCTTTGCCTTTCCAGCTAGGACTGAGGCTCCTTGCCTTCCAGCGGGGCGCTGAAGAGCTCTTCTTGTTGCTTCGCAGGTACTGGAGGAGGTCAGTCGGGATCTGGAGAGATTTGGAAACCGTCTTCTAACCAAGATCAAACCTCTAGGATGGGAATGCGAGTTGAACCCCCCTGTGTTTCGGCAGTATGATGCCTGGGGGCGGCGGGTGGATCACATTGTCACCTGCTCGGCCTGGAGGAGGATGAAGGAGATTGCGGCAGAAGAGGGGCTGATTGCTGAGGCCTATGAGAGAAGATACTCCAACTGGAGGTAACTGGGGGAGAATGGGAATGACTTGGTGCCTTCCTGGTTATTCTTAGCAAGGTACATGCAGCATCCTGTAGGACTGAACTTCTTGTTGTATAATGGGTAACAGACGGTGCATGGACAAAAGCACACCTACCGCTGTACCGAACAGCAGTGTCTGTCCGCTGTAATGTTCCACATCGGCAATGATAAGCCGTAACTAATGGCCTACAGTTGATCACAATATTCTTTGATGTCACCTTCCTGATTCTGGGGCCTGGCAGTTCCCTGCATTGCTCCAGCTTTACATGCATTAGTTGTAACACAGCTAAAGGTCTGGGATTTTACTTGCAGTTTCATTGTATTCCAGCCTCTGGGGACAGACCCACATCTCTTCTTTTTAAAAACTGCACTTAATGTGCACCAGCTGGCAAGCAATCCCTTCCATCCCGCCTTGCACTGGCAGTCCCTCTGGGACTGAGAAACTCTGCTGCTCCTCTTCTCTCTTCCTGGCTGAAACAGTTTTTGCCCTCTCAGAAATGAGCGGTCTGATTCTCGGCTGTCTTGGCTGTATTTTGTTCCTCTCTTCTGAGTCCAGATGTTTTGTCCTCCTGCTGTGGAACTGCTGCATAACCTGTCTGTTTTCACTCGCTTTCTTTCCTAGCCGTCTGCATCAGGCTGTCAAACTGTATTTATTTTCAAGCTCCTCTGGAGGTTTCAACTGTCCGCTGGCCATGACTGATGGGGCAGCCAAAGTCATTGAGGTATGAGCTCAGCTGGTCTCTGAGGGCACAGCCCACGTCCTGGCAGCGCTGGTTAGAGACTGGAGCACTGGCCAAGGACGGAGGAGACCTGATCTGCCATCTGGCTCTGGGCATGGCCCTTCCTTGCTCTGTGACTCAGCTCCGTCTCCCACTGCCTTCCTCCTTTAATTACAAAGTCTTTGTGCCCAGGCTAGCTTTTATATTTACTTACAGCACTGTACAGTAAGGCACATGAAACCTGGGGCACTGCAGGTAGTTGGAAAGGTGTCCCATATGTTTTTACTATGCGATAGTTTGTTTTCCTGTTCCTTGTGTGGAGTGGCAGTTAAATGTATTGGGCCAGATCCGTACCTGGTGTAAATTAACCAAGTTAGCAAGACTTTCCCAATCTGAAGATTTGGCTCTGCACCTTAGCGACACCCTTTGCACTGTCAGTGGCTATGCAGGATGCAGAGAAAAGCTAGCCCTTAAGTAGCTAGTCCTGGGCATTTGAATTCAATAAAAAGAAAAAAAAGCTTAAGGCAGTTACCTCTTTCCTGCAGCTCTTTGGGTGCTGGTGACATCCAGCGTATATGAACGTATGCCGATACCCTGGCACATGTGCTGTTTTGAAAGCTCTCTGTCCAGATGCCTAGTGGTGCAGGGATCCGAGGGGGGTAGGGATGCTCAGCACTCTCCTCTGTGACAGAAGTCTGCACCTTCTGTCTGCACAGTGCTCTAGCAGCTGTGTAGGAGCTGGGCAGTTTCACAGACTCTCAGCAGTGCATGCAGATGCACTGCAGTGCAGGACACTCAGTGTCCCGCTCGCCTGCTTGCGGACCGTCCGTTCTGAGCCTAGGACACGCCAGTGTTAGTTAAGGCAACTGCCTAATTTCATCTACTGTGTTATGATCATCTAAGTTTCTTTTCCCTCCCCCAAAACAGTCACTAGGTATTCCCGGATCTCTGAAAAATGCTTTTGACCATCTGACATCCCGTGACCCCAAGAAGTTCTGGACCTCTGGCCAGTGGATGACCGAGCGCAGGGGAGGCTCTGATGTTGGTACGTGTTCTGAGGTGGGAAGCAACTGCAGCAGCAGCTGGATGTGTTAGCGAGAACTGAGAAAATGGAGGGTGTGAGGAACTTATAAAGCCAGGAAGCTGGTTTGGGAAACTTCAGCAGAAGTCATCCAAATCCTCTGCCTAGCTCTGCTTTTTAACCAACAAAAGGCCCAGCTTCTGTCCACTGATGCATGCAGTACACGCAGGCAGGTACAGAGCTGTGTTCCTTGCACAGGTAACACACTGATGTCTAGCTCTATAATCTAAACCTTGAGCAAGACAGTCAGACCCATCCCAGCTGGGACTGAGAAAGCATTCTGGGCCTTCAACTTTTATGCCTTGACTAATGTTAGTAATAGTGTGACAGGCCAGGAAACTTCAGAACTCCGCTGTGGAGACAAGAAATGTGGAAGGGGAGTCACCTGCATCTCGTGAAGCTGCAGTTGGTTTCCTGGTGGAAGAAGTGAAAGGGTCAGCTGTGGAGTGAAAGATGTGCATCATTGCAGGACTCCCGATTCCGTAGCACCCTTTGTTGTTCTTGGCCGTGGTAGCTCCTAAAGAAATGGAGGCATTGGATTATACACCGTGGTGCATTCTGCTTACAAAGCACTGCCGCTACCAGCTGTTAGCCTGGAGCAACTGCTGGAAAGGCTCGTGTTAAACAGAACATATTTCCTTTCTAGTACTTAACTCTGGCTGCATTTCTTATCCAGTGTCATGGAAGAGATCAGCAGCTAATCCATACTCCATCTTGATAGCAAGAGATGACTTAAAAGAGCTGCTGCTTAAACCGAAAATCAGCATTGATTGATACAGAAGTTCCCATAAAGCCAAGATGATCTTCTCCTTTCTTGCAGCTAATGGCACTGAGACAGTGGCCAGAAAGCAGCCAGATGGTACATATCGTCTCTATGGTTTTAAATGGTTTACATCGGCTGCTGATTCTGATGTGACATTAACCCTGGCCAGGGTAGCGGATGCTGAAGGAAAAGTAAAACAGGTCTGTTTGATGGTGGAACCAGGTGAAGGAGCAGGGGCATCCTTTTTCTTCCTTGTTTCATCGTAATGAAATCTTCTTTGCGTGCCTTTCAATGGCCCCAGGGTTCCAGCGGCCTGTCCCTGTTCTTCCTGAAGGTTCGAGATGAGGAGGGGAAGCTGAACAGCATCCAAGTGCAAAGGCTGAAAGACAAGTTGGGCACGCGGCAGATGGCAACAGCAGAGCTATGGCTGGATGGAGCTAAAGCAGAGCTAGTACGTAAGGTTTCACCTTCCTCTTGGGACTGGGCTGGCTTGGCACAGCAGACCACTCGTGGGGGTTTTGGCAGTGATACCAACTGAAAAAGTTCTTCTCTTCCACCTCTGTGTCTGGCTGTTCACTTTGCAGGGCACTTCACCAACGGGGCTGTGTGTGGGACAGAGCTGAGAAGAGCTCAGGAAAAGATGGGAGGGGGGGGAAGTAATTTCAGGCTTGTCGTTTCCCTAATCCAGTTGCGTTGACCCAGCTGAGGGACAGTTCTGTGTAGCATGCAGGTAGGAACGAGCAGCAGGGACCAGAACTGGTCATGCTGACGTGGTCTCCAAAGCCACCTCTCTGGTCGTGCCACAGACTCGGCTAAAATGAGACAGCCGTATTTTAAAGCAAGCAGATCTTTGTGGTGCCTGAGGACAGAGACAGAGTGGGCAGCATATATCTCTCTGTCTGTTGACACAACTTTCGCTCAGATATGCATCCACTTCCAAGGCTGTGCAAAAGGCTTACGTCAGCCTTTGTTCCTTGATGCTTTCAGATCTCTGCAGAGGGTCGTGGAGTGGCCTCCATCTCCAACATGCTGAACATAACTCGGATCCACAACGTCATTGGTGCAGTAGCTTCCATGAGAAGGTGAAGGCAGCATGGATCCCCCCAGAGCTGAAGGAGCAGCTTATCAGGACAAGGGGACTTTGCAATGCTCAGCATTGCAACTGATTGGCATCTAATGCCTTTGCAGGCACAGATCTGGAAGCCAGCAGTGCTGGAGAAGGTTGGCCTGTGGGTGGGTGACCTAGGCTGGTGTGCTACAGCTGAGCAGGGTTCTTCCGTGGGGGTGGCTGGAAGGGAGGGCTCAGAAGTGGAAGGTTGCTCGTCTAACTGCTTTCCCTGGCTGTATTCTCTCTAGGATGATCAGTCTGAGCAGGGAGTATGCCCGTAGGCGGGTTGCCTTTGGGAAGCTTCTCAAGGACCATCCCCTACACATGCAGACGATAGCCCGGATGGAGGTAAGGCTTTTGGGAGCTGAGCGGAACCTGTTGGCGAGGAAAGAGGGCAGAGGTCCTCAGCTGCTAATGAGCACAGCCAGCCTGCCTCTGTGTGCAACAGTCAGATGTAGAAGGCTGTTCCTCCTACAGTAAGATGTATGCAGCAGGAGAATTGTCATTTTCTAGTGGGATTTGATCTGACAATAGGCCTAGCTTCTCTGCTGGACTTCAGGTTATCCTAAACAACAATTACCTGGGAGCTATCCTGAGAGGAGTGCCAAAGTTCATGCATGCACTTACATGCATATGCCATGACCCCTGAAGTTGGCCATTAGCGTCAGAGTCCAAGCATGACACCAGTCTCCTAAACTGCAGTTAACAGACTCTTGTCCAAGGCTGATAGCAGACTCATCCAGCTTCCCTGGTAGCTCATGCGCCAGGAGATGGGCTGTTCCCAGCAGGCTTGAAGAATTCCTGCGTAGTCACCGTGCACTTTAGCTTCCAAGAAGTTTGTCTTCACTGTGTACCTGCACACTGCTCATGACCACGAGACACCAAGCTTGAGTACAGCCTCTAGATGTGAATGTGATCCAAGGCAATAGCAGACAATGGAAGAGAGCAGCATGAATTGGCACGCTGGCTCTGGGAGGAATTTCACATGTGAGCCTTTGCTCACTGCAGAATGTCTCACAGCTTTGCCACAACGCTGAGCTGTAGCGGCTCGCTAAATCCACAGGACACAGGTGGCTTCCCACCCCTACTAAAACTTCAAAAAGGCACACAGTTCTCCTCCTCTCACCCATCCAGGCACTACTACTTTTCTCAAGTGGTGTAACACCAACGCTTGCCCTTGGGCTGCAGTAGGTTCATGCAAATTTTTCATAGAATCATAGAATCATTTAGGTTGGAAAAGACCCTTAAGATCATCGAGTCCAACCGTTAACCTAGCACTGCCAAGTCCACCACTAAACCATGTCCCTAAGCGCCACATCTACAAGTCTTCTAAATACCTCCAGGGATGGTGACTCCACCACTTCCCTGGGCAGCCT